TTTATGGAGCATGAGATTTGCATCCCAGCAAACGAAGTACTTGTTGGCAACAACTTGCTCCTCTGTTGGTGACGGTAAAACGAGGCAGTCTTTGAGGTTCTCATTCTCTCCTTTATCGCGGGCAAGCTTGAGTACTCGAATACCTGAAGATGTGTAACATGGTAGTGGAATCACGAGGACCTGAACTGCTTTTTCAAACTCTTCTCGTTCTTAAGGATTCAAACAGTCCAAGTTAGGAATAAAAACGCACTCATCTGACTTAAGAACGCCGTCCTTATCGTCGTAAGAAGAACCAAAATCTTCATTCGCTCCAGACGCTTTAAAGTGTATCTCATTGGACAGCACTAATTTGCCAGAAAACCCTGGGCAGATGACTTGCACGACGCTTGGTGCGTTAGCTAGACCGCATGTTGTCTTGGTTGTTTTAGCAAGTTCGGGCGGCATCAACCCACTTGGCACTTTGTTGCCAGCATTGTGCTCGAATTTGAAATCGTCTTCCTCTAAGCACAAGCTTCTTTCAAATGGCTCAAATACGGTGCTCAACCTTAGCTGCTCGATCAGCAAATGAGAGGGCGTCGCTTAGGATGCCAAACTTTGCGCGTCTGTTGCTAACTTCCTTGTCAGTTTCTTTGATCAAAATGCATGTTTTGGTTCTCAATTGAGACGCAGAAAAACCCAGAAAGCAATATTGCGAACCGTCGAGCTCGATACCTGTGCTTAATATGCTTTTTAGTTTATCTTCAGAATAAGATGAAAACTCAGCTGTGAGAAGTTTGTCCCACAGGTTTCGTTTTCCTCCGGCTTCGGAAAGCAGCTGATTGATCAGTAAACAGTTTTTTACCTCTCGAGAATTTTAGATGTCCTCTTTAAGAATGACGTGCTTGACGGTAAGTTTGTCGTCGGATGGACATTTCAGTGGCTTTTTCAGTCAACCGCACAAGGTGAGGTCCTGCCACGTCTGGTCAGCTTAATCACTTCGGGTAAAATCTAATGAAAGAGCATCACGAGAATTTTTCGAAAAATTATCGGGGTATCTTGGTTTGAAAAACCCTAACTATTACAGTCTTAATGAAGTTTAAAATATGAATTTTCCGTGTTGATTGTTAGTAGTTTCTTCTGTCACTTCTAAAAATTTGAGAATATCCTATAGTCATGCTTTAGTTGATGATTTCTATTCCTTCTCGTTACCTCGTCTTGGTATGGCATGGAGACATTTTTTTCATGGAAATATCACCATTAGAAGTAAGCCCGGGTTTGCTATTTTTTTTCAGTTTGCTGTCTAGAGAGATATCATTGAGGGACATTTTCAGAGGCTCCAGGAAACAACTTAACAGAAAACAACCTCCCATAATATTGGAGAAGTTGCTCTCCCTAAACAACTCCTTATTTCTGCAGAGTGGTTGTAAGTGCCAATAAAGGTTTTTCACGGCAGCCATGTTGTATGGCAGGAACAATAGATTCTTTTTCCTATGGGATAAAATGTTCTTTATAGTGCAAAACATTTTCATTGTTCCTGCCATGCAACATGGTTACCTTGCAAAACCACTATAACTAACGAGTAAAATGACGAGGGATGCTTGTCGGATAGTTTGAATGGTGTGTCAGAAACGCATTTTGCAATCTTCGTTCAGGTTCATCCCTACCCCTAACAGACACCAAGATAGTTTAAATCTCTAGCTCACTTCGCACATCAAAAGTCAGTAAGTCTTACCGGTTTTATGTATTTTTTTAAATTTTGCTCCATTTGTAGTAGGCTTGTNGCTCGATCAGCAAATGAGATGGCGTCGCTTAGGATGCCAAACTTTGCGCGCCTGTCGCTAACTTCCTTGTCAGTTTCTTTGATCAAAAAGCATGTTTTGGTTCTCAACTGAGACGCAGAAAAACCCAGAAAGCAATATTGCGAACCGTCGAGCTCGATACCTCTGCTTAACATGCTTTTTATTTCATCTTCACGATAAGATGAAAACTCAACTATCAGAAGTTTGTTCCACAAATTTTGTTTTCCTCCCGCTTCGGAAAGCAGCTGATTGATCAGTAAACAGTTTTTCACCTCTCGAAGATTCGGGATGTCCTCTTTAAGAATGACGTGCTTGACGTAATGTTTGTCATCGGATGGACATTTCAGTGGCTTGTTACACGACACAAGGTGAGGTCCTGCCATGTCTGGTCAGCTTAATCACTTCAGGTAAATCTAACTGAAAGAGCATCAAATGTAACCATCATGAGAATTTTTCGAAAAATTATCGGGGTATCTAAGTTTAAAAAGCCCTAACTATTACAGTCTTAATGAAGTTTAAAATATCAATCTTCTGTGTTGATTGTTAGTAGGTTCTTCTGTCACTCCTGAAAATTTGAGAATATCCTTTAGTCATGCTTTAGTTGATGATTTCTATTTCTTCTCGTTACCTCGTCTTGGTATGGCATGGAGACATTTTTTTCATGGGAATATTACCATTAGAAGGAAGCTCGGGTTCGCTATTTTTTTCAGTTTGCTGTCTAGAAAGATGTCATTGAGGGACATTTTCAGAGGCTCCAGGAAACAACTTAACAGAAAACAACCTCCCATAATATTGGAGAAGTTGCTCTCCCTAAACAACTCCTTATTTCTGTATAGTGGTTGTAAGCGCCAATAGAGGTTTTGCATGACAACCATGCTGCATGGCAGGAACAATAGATCCTTTTTCCTATGGGATAAAACGTTCTTTCTAATGCAAAACATTTTCATTGTTCCTGCCATGCAACATGGCTGCTGTGTAAAACGTATATTATTAACAAGTAAAATGACGATGCTTGTCGGATAGTTTGAAAGGGGTGTCAGAAACGCATTTTGCAATCTTTGTTCAGGTTCATCTCTACCCCTAACAGACACCAAGATAGTTTAAATCTCTAGCTCACTTCGCACATCAAAAGTCAGTGAGTCCTATCGTTTTTATGCATTTTTTAAAATTTTACTCCATTTGTAGTGGCCTTGTTTTGAGTACTTTTCTACCTTCACTTGACCATTTCCAGTTATCTTTTATAGATCAAAGATAGTCCCTTTGGCAGCGGTTTTAAAA